TAGGTTTCCCACTCCTTATGAGAATCTAATGCCTGATGATCTGTCACTGTTTCCCATAACCCCCAGATGAGACCATCTATGCAGGAAAACAAGTTCAGGGTTCCCTCTGATTCTACATTATGGTGAGTTGTATAATTATTATATATCACAATGTAATAATAGAAATAAAGTGCACAATAAATGTAATGCATTTGAATCATCCTGAAATGATTCCCCACTCCCCCCTACCCCTGTCTATGGAAAAATTGTCTTCCATGAAACCAGTCCCTGGTGCGGAAAAGGTCTGGGACTGAGGCATCACAGCACTGAATTGCTGCTTACACTACAGGTGTTGCCGGAGGGCCCAGAAGGGTTTCCAGAAGCCAGTGAGACCCCAGCCCCAGCCCCAGCCAGTTTCCAGGTTCTTGACACCTTCGTAAGAAAGAATTCAGGGGGGAGTCAGAATGAAGCCAAAGGCAAGAAGCTTTTATTGCTAAGCAAAAGTACACACTTAGGGAAGTGCAGGTGAGCTCGTGAGAACGAGTCATGACCAACAGAGTTTGAGTTTTCTATTTTTATGGGCTCTTGTAATTAGAGGGTGGACTAATCATGAGGTTTTCTGGGGGAAAGGCGAAGATTTCATAAAATTGAGATGCCACCCATTTTTATATTAAATATGAGCAGGTTCAATCTGTCAGGGCCTTGGCGGGTGTGTAATTTCATATGGTAATTAGCATATAATTAGGTCTTGGGTAGGGCATGGGTCAAATCCAGTGCCATGTTGGACCCAGACGGTTTCAGACAGCTTAGCCCCCATCCTGTTTGTTAGGGTCTTATCAGCCCAAGCTCTTCCTTGTCCTTGTAACTAATTTTAACAGCTCCTTTTTTGCTGATATGTGAAATTACTGCTTGATGTTTCTCTTATGACCACCCAGCATTCCTATCAAATAGGGATGAGATTTATCACTTTCCTTGTTCCCCCCGCCCTCTCACTCCACTAGCATGAACCCTCCAGAGACTCAGGAGGCTGCAAACTAGGTGCCTGATCTCAGCCTCTTTCAGAAAATAATCTGAGTGGAAAAACATTTTTATACCCACAAGCCAGGACTCCTCCCCTCCCCTCTACCAAATGCCCTCTTTTCCTCTCAAAGGGGTTTAGGTCTGTGTTGCATGGACCTCCTTTCTTCACAGGAAAACCAGTGAGGAAGTGGAAGGAGGAGACTGAGCATCTGCCATGTAATATGCAGTGGTGTACCTCACTTATTGCTCACCTCCGTTAAAAGTGATGAGGCTGTCTTTGTCTTACAGATGAGAAGACTGAGGCATAGATCTATCATCCTTCACCCGTATGTTTCAATTTCATGTCTATGTTTATCAGGATGCTTTTTTTTTGGGGGGGGGGACAGGGTCTTGCCCTGTCACCCAGGCTGCAGTGCAGTGGCACGATTGTAACTCACTATAACCTTGACCTCCTGGGCTTAAGTGATCCTCCCACCTCAGCCTCCCCAGTAACTAGGACTACAGGCCCACACCATCACACCTGGTTAATTTTTTTTTTTTTTTTTTTTTTTGTAGAGATTAGGTCTTGCTAGGCATGAGCCACCAGACCTAGCTTTCGTTTTTAAAAGGTAAAGGATCCGACACTTCAGAAGAAAGGTAAAGGAAGAATTTTTAGAGAAACCAGTTCAGAAGAAGCTGTTAATGGTACTTACAGGAAACATAAATGTTTGAATGACAAGACTGGGAAAGAATTAATGCACCATGGAACAATTATCATAAAGACAGTGGTGAGGAGATGGTGTGGAGAGTTGGGGGAAGGGAGGAATCAGCAGTTTCCCAGATCTGGAATTACAACAGGGCCCCAAGTTCCCATCCCACCATCAGGAAAGATACCCGATGAGAACCCCAAATGGACCTGCTGATGTTTCTTCACCACTACCTTGCAAGTCCCTTTCCTCGTGTTCATGTGGGGACCTGCAGGTCATTAATTTACAAATCATGAGGAGCTTTTTCCCAAGAGACATTTAGCAATGAGCTTGGGCGATATCCTTAGCGCTGTAGTGGTGGCAGAGCTTTCCTCTAAGCATTCAGAGAGCTTTCCTAAGCTCCTAACACCTCCTAAAGGAGCTGTTAAAATTAGCTACAAGAACAAGGAAGAGCTTGCGCTGATAACACCCTAACAAACAGGATGGGGGCTAAGCTGTCTGAAACCGTCTGGGTCCAACATGGCGCTGGATTTGACCCATGCCCTACCCAAGACCTAATTATATCCTAATTACCGTACCCTAATTACACACCCTCAGAGAGCTTTCCTCTGGCTGCTTGAAGGAAAGCTCTGCCTACCACAAATGCAACGAGTAACCCTGGCACCCAATTGCGTTTTCGCGGCTTGCTAAAGGCCTGCTTTCCAAGGCTGCCAGGCCTTGCTGAGTTTGCACAAACGCACGCGGCCTGCGGGAGCAGGCGTCCGGCTTCCTGGGGCGCGCCGCCTGGTGGAGACTGCGGGGAAGGAGCGACACAAGCAGGTAACTCGCCAGCAGGTTCTCGTTTGCTGAAAAGGTGTTTGGAAATGGCTTTGAAAAGTGACTCTCACGTAAGCCTTTGGTTGCTGCTCTTCCTACACATCACGAGTAAGGCCCTCCTCCCCTCAGCGAAGATTCTACAAATCAAGAGGCCAGGATGAGGTTAGTTAAGGATTGCTTTGTGTGTGCACGACGGGTATAGGCCAGGAGGGAGGCTGAAAATGCACCGCGCGTCTAGGGTCATACCACCCTGAACGCGCCCGATCTCGTCTGAAAATGCACCGCGGGCGGTTCACAACTGTCAAAACGTAGGACAGGATTGTAGCCGGCAGGTTCGAACCTATGCAGACAGACGTAATTATATTTTCATCGCCTTAAGCATCCGGAGGCTGCACCACATTGTCTGCCAATCACTTCATGTTATGTTGTCTTGCCGGTTGTTATCTGTTTTAAAGCTAAGGAAACTTAGGGATGGGGGTTGTTGTGGACTGAACTGTGTCCATCAAAATTCCTGTGCCAAACCCCTAATCTCAATGTGACTGTATTTGGAGATAGGGCATTTAAGGAGGTAATTAAGGTTAAATGAGGTCAAAATGGTGAGACCCCAATCCAAAAGGATGGGAGAGGGGGAGACGGAGGAAGGGGCCTACTCAAATGACCTCATTTTAATCACTCCTATAAAGACTGTCACCAAACATGGTCATATTCTGATATATTGGGGGTTAGAACATCAACATACGAATTTGTGGGGGGCCGGGCAGGGGGACACACGGTTTAGCCCATTACAAACGTATACACTTTAAGGATTGTTATATCTTCCTGAAGAATTGACCCTTTTATTATTATATAATGCCACTCTTTATTCCTGGTAATTTTCTTTGCTCTGAAGTCTACATTGTCTGAAATTAAAATTACTCCAAGCTTTCTTTTGACTAATGTTAGCATAATATGCCTTTTCCCATGCCCCATTACACTGTGGCTTGTGTTTCCCTAATCATGCAGCTGAAAGTCCTACAACCCAAGATCGCTCTCCAGGAATCAATGTGCAGTTCTGAAAGATATGCACGCCTCCCACTGTTCATTCACAGTGAATGACGGTAATAAACACCAGTGCAGCAGCCTAGGTTGTGTACCATCAGGTTTTCCACATTCACAGAGAAGAACCAAAGCCCTTTGTACATGCCACTGGCTGAGCTCCCATGCAAAAGCCACTTCCACTTTGCCAACCACACAAGTGAGCCAACTCAAAAGTGGATTCCCCAGCTGACACCATGTGGAGAAAAGACAAGCTGACCCTGCCCAAACTGCAAATCAGGGAGCAAAATGATGTTATTATTGTTTTAAGCCACTATGGTCTTGGTGGTTTGTAATGCAGCAATATATAAACGGAGAAATAAAAAACAATAGTGAGAGGGTAACATTTTTTTCCATCCTTTTTGGGGGTAGGGGAATTAAGTACTCAGTTTCAAATATGTTGAATTTAAGGTACAGGGTAACTCAAGTAGAGATGCTTGAGTAGGATAATAGGATATAAGGAATAGCCTCAGGCAAGTTCTGGACTGCAGATATGAGAGGAGATAGTATAAAACTGAAGGGCCAACAAGGAATTATAGTGAGGTATTATATAGGAAACTGAGAGGGGGAAAAGGGCCAAGACTAACACTTGAAAAATTGCTTTTTTTTTTTTTTTTTCTCGAGACAGAGTCTCACTCTGTTGCCCAGGCTGGAGTGCAATGGGGCTAATTTTTGTATTTTTAATACAAACAGGGTTTCGCTACATTGGCCAGGCCTGTCTCAAACTCCTGATCTCATGATCTGCCCGCCTTGGCCTCCCAAAGCTGAGATTACAGGCATGAGCCACCACGCCCAGCCCTGAAAAATGTCTTTTTTTTTTTTTTTTTTTTTTTTGAGACAGAGTCTCGCTCTATCGCCCAGGCTGGAGTGCAGTGGCTCGATCTCCGCTTGCTGCAAGCTCTGCCGCCTCCCGGGTTCACGCCATTCTCCTGCCTCAGCCTCTGGAGAAGCTGGGACTACAGGCGCCCGCCACTACGCCTGGCTTTTTTTTTTTTTTTTTGTATTTTTAGTAGAGACGGGGTTTCACCGTGTGTGCCAGGATGGTCTCCATCTCCTGACCTTGTGATCCGCCCGCCTCAGCCTCCCAAAGTGCTGGGATTACAGGCGTGAGCCACCGCGCCCGGCCGAAAAATGTCATCTTTTAAAGCTTGCGGTTGGCCTTACAGGAGAGAATTTGTAAGGAAAAAAGGATTTGGTGTCATTGATGCCATGGGAAATGTTTTAGGAAGTGTAAATATCAAGAAGGCAAGTAAAATGAAGACCAAAGGATATCAAATGGATTCAAAAATGAGGTCATTAGCAAAAATTATCACTATGTGGACCATCAGGAATAGGAGTCAGAATGCTTCCACCCATTGCCTCCTGGGCTACAGTCTTACCAATTGCTTGAGTCAGGTGAGACAGCACATACTCACACACCACAAGTTATATAAAGCAGTTTATTACTTACAGATAGGCAGCAAGAGACAACAGAAGCCTAAGATTCATAACAAGCTAGTCCTCCTGCATGACTGGCACCTGTTGATTCTGTAAACTGCAAGGGCCTCCCTCTGATTGGTTCCAGTAGCATGTATCAAATGTGGGGAGGCCATCAACCTCTTATTTAGGAACCTAAATAAGTCTGTGGAGTAGGGGCCCTTGGAGGCAGCCCCACTACCAGCCCTTGGATTGCCTCCTCCCAAGTTAGCCTTTTGTATTTAATTGTCAGATTAAATTTGTCAAATTTGATCCCCATTCTGCTGCCAGGCTAGCAAAGTATGATAAAGTTTTTCAATGGCCTTGCCAAAGGCTATTCTAAGGGGAAGAAGTAAAATCAATTGGTTATGCCAGGGCCAAGGGCTCTGGTCTATTAAATCATCAATATTGCAACTAGATAATATTGTATCATCCAATTCTCCCTTCTGGAGGTTGGATAGCCATCAGCCTGGGGCCACCCTGCACAAGGCTGTGACAGCCTCATGTCCTGACTGCCAAGGGCACAATGGAAGGTTAGGCAAACCACCCTGGATGGGAAAAGAGCCTAGAATGCTAGACACCAACCAAATAAGAAAAGATTCCAGGTTGTGGGCATGGTGATCTATAGCCATGGCTCGTTGGATCACCCTGAACATCTGCTGCAACACTGGGTTGTGAGCCAATCTACCCAGGCTGTGCCATTCTTTTCATGACAGCAGAATGTTCTGCCACTCCTCATCAACTACCTGAGATAGCCAAGAAAACATGTCTTCTCTTGGTTTTTGCCCATAGCTGTCCTTGAGATCACTAATTTGTCTTTCTGTGAAGGAGAGCATTTTGATGATTTCTTGCTGAGCTACCCCAACATTCTTGCACTGCTGGGTAAAGATGGGCTGCGTCATGCACATTCATTCCTTCTTAAGTGCCTCAGAGACTCTTCTTATAGCCTCTTGGGTGTCTTAGGGTCTGAGTATCCATTTCCCAAGATCTCCATCCTGGAGAATGAGCAATCGCATATGTGTCCCAAAGCTAGAGGACAGAGTTGCATATTCCTCTGTTTCCATATTCCTTTCTCTCTGCCTCAATTCATGCAGCCAGCTCATTCACATCTGTGGGGAGGTGACATATGTCCCACTTATCATTCCTCCTTCCCCATAAAACATCCTGAAGCATGTCTGGCTCCTGCAGCCCTCTGCCCTGGACTGGGTACTAAAGGGCATTGCCCCTCCCTCTTAGCCCATAAGTCATGGTTCTGTCAGACCAGACCCTACTGCTATACCAATTTTATGAAGCAGGTTCACTAATTACCCGTCCCAAAGGAGAACTCTCACTGCATGAAGAATAGCAAAAATCATCACTGTGCTAACCACCGGGAATCAGAACATTTCCACCCACAGCATCCTGGGCTGCAGTTTTACTAATTGCCTCAGTCAGATGAGACAGACTACATTCACATGCCACAAGTTATATGAATCAGGTTTATTATTCACAGATAGGCAGTAAGAGACAACAGAAGTCTAAGATGCACAGCAAGCCAGTCCCCCAAGGTTCAAGAAAACTGCCAGGGTGGATGCAGTCTCCACTGCATGCTCCCCATTTGCACCACACCTAAGGGACCCTGAAAGGTAACCCACCCTGGGTTATATACCTCAGGGGCAACAGGATGCACTGGGCAAAGCTTTGAAGGACATCTTTTTAGGGAAGGCAATCCAGGGCCCTATCCCAGCTTCTGTCCCCTTGGTCTCTAATGCCAGGAGTGAGGATGCAGAAGGGACCCCATGGGGAAGGAGAGATTGGGGGAGGCAATTTCTCCTCTCCCCACCCTCTTTCTCACCCCTTGTACATTAAACTCCTCCTTGCCCCCGTGCTGGGGGGCACTTGGAGGCTTTCTCTGGGAAAGGGTTTTTAGCTTGAACTTTAATAGACCTGGGTGGATCAGGAAGAAGGACCCTGTACTTCTGTCCTTAATCAGATGAGGGCCAGGCATGTGAGAACCTTATATTCAGGCATGTCCTGGAGGACCGAACCCACAGAATGATGATGGCGCAAAGTACCACAAAAGAGCGGAGGAAAAGTCTCTCTGACTGCACCCTAGGGTTTCATTTCTGCAAACAGATGACTGGGCCCCTGTTCATCCCCAACCTCACTGGCAGATTAGGCCTAAGAGGAGGGGATACCACCACTTGCACATGTCCCTGTTGAACAGCTCTCATATGCTGGAGCAGCTGCGAGTTGATGGGTGTCTGATTTCTGAATATGATTTATCCAAATTCACTCACATTTCAGATGTGGATTTATTTTCCAAGGGAATGTTGAGATTGCCACCATTAAAGGAAACTCAGTTACTTGCATAAAGTGGCAAAGACCTTCTTGACCCAACTCTAGTCAGCCTCCTTTGTAAGTACTGAAAGCCCAGACCATGGGTTTTTCTCTTTGGTTCACTTATTCTAGTTTTAGCAAGAATCCTGCTAAGTTTAGTGAAAAATCTTCACCCTTGGTCTGATCACCCTAGATATTTTATCAAATTCCTTATGTCTCACCTTGATATCTTATTACCCTGGCCTCCTGGCTTTTTGTTGTTGTTGTTGTTTGCTTATTTGTTTGTTTTTGAGACAGAGTTTTGCTCTTGTTGCCCAGGCTGGAGTGCAATGGCACAATCTCAGTTCACTGCAACCTCTGCCTCCCAGGTTCAAGCGACTCTCCTGCCTCAGCCTCCCGAGAAGCTGGGATTACAGGCATGCGCCACCACACCTGGCTAATTTTGTATTTTTAGTAGAGACAGGGTTTCTCCATGTTGGTCAGGCTGGTTTTGAACTCACGACCTCAGGTGATCCACCCACCTCAGCCTCCCAAAGTGCTGGGATTACAGGGGTAAGCCACGGTGCCTGGCCTTCCTGGCCTGTCTTTAGAAAAAAAAAAAAAAATCTGTTAGATCAGTTTAGCAAAGAATTACCCTACTTCTCAGTAATTTTTCAGCCACTAACCCCCGCCCTGAACCTTTGCTATAAACCTTCACTTGTTCTTTTGTATTTGGAGTTAAGCCTGATCTCCCCTACTGCAAAACTCCATTATAGTAGTCCGTTGAATAAAATCTGCCTTACCATGTTTAGCTAGTGTCATGAATAATTTTTCTTTAACTAAAAAACATAACAGAATAGCACAGATCAATACTAATAAATCCAAAAACACTAAAGAAAAAAGGTATAATCTAATTGGCTTACAGTAAGGGACAGTTGAAATAATATTAATTGATGGCATATAATCAATTAGTAATAAAATGTAAATTAATTTTATTTCAGATATGCTCTAAATTCCAAAAAAGCATAGGAGAAGGAAGAGACTTCTTATCTGGATACAAATATTTTAATGTAACCAAATAACTAAATTTTATTAAACAAGTATGAAGTTTAACCTAATTTATGAGTAAAAACATATGCCAAAAAGAATAAACTGGAGTGCATCAATCTCCTGAGAATTTGAGACACAAATAGTTTTAAACACATATGAAAATGGGTACTTCTAATAACAAATAGGTAATAAAGGAATGTGACTTTTAGAAATAAGTCCATTTAAATACCATCTGTGAACAATAAATTCTTCAAACTCTTTCAGAGCTGCCGGTGGCTGGAGCCCTGTCTTCCAAATGGATGAGAGGCACCTACCGGCCAAGGGTTCAGGTGACATCACAAGAAATGGCGCGGATTCTTACTGCCCTGTGTCTTGGCTTCCGCATCAGCGAACTCCGCCTTCGGTCTTCCAGGCGGCCTGTATTGCTTAGGTGGTAGCAGTGGCCCTACCAGCCCAGCCCCACAGTCCCTGGGACTCCAGTCTTTGGCTCTTACCAACCCTACCTGCGCTGTGGTGCTCGGGCCCAACTCCTCACCTGGATGCAGTGGCTTAGGGGTTGGGTGAACAGACTGACTTGAGCTCGGAGTCCTGAGCCCAGACCTTTCAGGCCAGGGGCAGTCCAAGTTTGGAGACCCAGTCCCTTCTATGTTTCCAGATCTGCGAAATTCAGTAAAACTATACCCAAATGACCAGTACGGGCCACGGGGCACTGAGAATGCAGAGAATCATGAGAGCCACTCTCCTTCCTCGCGCCCAGATCCCAACAGTCACCAGAACACTGCGGATCCCACTCTCTGCTCCCCAACGACAGTTACCTTGGCAAGTCAAGACCCCAGCCATTGTCACCAGAGGAGAGAGGCAGAGGGAGATTTGGCTACAAAGAAAAGGAAGACAATGTGATCTTGAATCAGGATACTACGCTGCTGACTTTGAAAATGGGAGGAGGAGGTATGAGCCAAGGAATGTCCTTGTAGAACCTGGAAAGACCAAGGAAAGCTGCTTCACCTCTGGCACTTCTGGAGGGTGTTAGAAACCCTGTCTGACATTTTCATTTTGGTCCACTGAAACTGATTGCAGATTTCTGACCCCTAGACCTGTAAGGGAATAAAGACATATTTTTTAGGCACCAGACCTGAGTTTAAGAGACCTTAGTCTCTTAACGCCAAGTTAGAAGCTGCATAGTCAAGCCACCTACAACCCCCGGGGCAGGGCAAAGATAGGGACCCACATGATACTCCTTTTAGAACGACTCTGTATTCACACCCTTAACTCGAGTTGAGTTTAGTGAAACAAGAAATAATCCAAGCTGAAGTAGAGAGAGAGAGAGGGAGAGAGAGAGACCCATAAGGGAATATTTCTGCCCAGTTTCCATTTCGCGTGGGTGGCACACGTGACAACCACTACATTACAAAAACCACCATACACCTAGGAGCTATCTTTAAAATTTGAAATGGACATTTCCTGAATGGCTTGCATTCAGTATTGTGAAACTATTTTTTCTTTTAGAGCATTTTCATATTTGTGGCCCTTTTTTTCTTTCCTTCTGTATTCCATTTATCAAAACCAACAATACCCAAAATCCATGATTCAAGACAAAGGAAGGCTTTCGCCCAGTGACCCAAATCCTCACAAATACCATGTCATCATGTCAGGAAACTTCAGGCAGAATAAGGAGGAATTTTATTTCAATACCATTGTCCATACTGTCCTATGCCTTTTTCTGTATCCTTCCAATACACCCAAACATTAACCTCTTGATTACAAAAAAAAAAAAAGACTTTTTAGAAACCAGGATGCAAAGGGAGGGGCTTTGGAGACCTTTAGCATTTTCTGTCAAGGAAACGCTTTGCCATAAGAGACTGTGGAATGAGGTGGGGTGAGGGGACCACCTGTGACCAGTTATCTTCCTGGCCAGCAAGACGGCAGGGGACTGAGTGTAATCAGGTGTCTTCCAAGAGGTGGCAAGCATGCCAGTCAGATAATTTAACTTAGTTTCTTCCCCTCCTCACACAATTTGCCACCATTCCCTCTGGCATTAGTCATTCAGCTACTGCCTCACCCACTGTATTTTGTGTAACTCTGTAATTTTAATTTTGGTATTGTACTGTACATCCTGATAATATATTTTGTTTCTTAGATTTTACTTTGCACTGAAAACTCCACCTGTTGTGGTATATATACATCTGCTTCATTAGCTGTGACTCCCGCAGAACATGAAACTTCATACAAACTTGTATTCACTGCAGTATTTACTCATTCTGGTGATGGACATGCAGGTTACCCCAACTCTCTGCTGCCTGAAGTTGCTGCAGTGACTAGATTCTATGAAGCCACTACAGAGCTAAGCTGGAATTTCACTGAGAGACATTCGTAGAAGTGGAATTGCTGGGTAGTCGTCAAAAAGGCTATACAGAAATAAACACTTGTTTAATGCCCATACAGTGAAATCTAAGACCTAGATTGTTAAGATAAAGATCTTACCTTAGCCAGGTGTGGTAATGGGCGCCTGTAGTCCCAGCTACTAGGGAGGCTGAGACAGGAGAATGGCATGAACCCGTGAGGCAGAGCTTGCAATGACCCGAGATCACGCCACTGCACTCCAGCCTGGGCAACAGAGCAAGACTCCATCTCAAAATAAATAAATAAATAAATAAATAAATAAATAAATAAAATAAACGATCTTACCTTCATTTCATGTAGAAATTCATACTTTTAAGATTTTTAGTATGACAAATCAAAACATAGGAAGTATACCTAACTCACAGTGGTCTCAGAAAAATTCCCAGGGGAAAGTGCCTTGCGGTAAATCTAAAACAATGAGTAAACTTATGGTAAAGAATGACGGATTTGGGAGAATCATCCAACTGAATGAAAATTAGACATGAATGAAATGTCCTCCCATAGTAATTGAATCTGTCAGCAGTGACCTAAACCTGTGAAACCAGAGAGCTTACACGGCTCCGTCACCCCCACAACCCTCATGGCCTGATTTCAGCCCTTTAGGGAGAGCTTTGTTTGGTTCTAGGGCTTCCTGAGGGATGCAGGATAAATTCTCTGACTTTAACACCTTCTCTGTGGATTTTTCTGGGCCAAATTCACAGAAGTGGAACACTAGAAACTTCCTTTTTCAGTTCTTTGAATTTGGTTTTAAGATCAGCGATATTTTTCTGTGAGGAAGCTGCCTCTCTTTTTATTTAGACAGAGGTACAAGGCAGGAAAAGACTTTTTCTTTTCCTTTTTTTTTCTGTTTCCTTAAAACACACAAGATTGAGCTCAGGCGTTCTCTTTATCAAAGTCTTCCTGTAGCCAAAAGAGGGTCTGGCTGATTGTCACTTGTAGAAAAAAGCCAAAAGAACAAGAATGAGGTATAATTAAAAACAGAGTGAGTTTTATTATCCATGCTAGCAACAGGGAGTGTGGCCGGCCAAAAGTTGCCACTCTTCAATTTCTAGAGAGAGGCCAAACATTTTAAGAAGAGGAGCTTGTAATGCAGAGGGGCAAGAGGCAGGAGGTGCCCAGTGGGTGTCTCATTCTGATGGCTTATCTTGAATTATTGTTTCAACTGGTGAAGGGGCCAGTGACACGTAGGCCCAATCAAGTTACAAATTAATGATGGTCAATCTAGCAGATAATCTCTAGCCAACAGTGAATATTGTCCTTGAATTAATCTCCTACTGGAGAGATAATTCTGGAGATGCCTGGTCTGCATCAGGATTCAGCCCCTGAAGCTTCTAAGGAAATATATGACCAGATAAGAGGGCATGGTATGAGCTTAACAAGCATCCAGGTAAATAAATGAGCATAAGGCATGGGAGCATAATATGGGAAAGGGAAGGCAGTTTTAATGCCCATTCCAAGGCAGTAATTCAAGACAAAAGAAAACACATCTGCAGTTTGTCTCAAAGCTATGTCTAGAAACTGGGGAGAAAGGAAAGAAACAAAGTTTTTAAAACATGGTTTGAAGCTAAGCTGTTTGGTTACATTCCAACCTCCCACAAGATTTTGCTGTTTTTTGTTGTTATCAAAACAAGTAATAGGCCAGGTGCAGTGGCTCACAGCTGTAATCCTAGCACTTTGGGAGGCTAAGGCGGGCGGATCGCCTGAGGTCAGGAGTTTGAAACCAGCCTAGCCAACATGGTGAAACTCCGTCACCACTAAAAACACAAAAAAAGTAGCCAGGCATGGTAGTGGGCACCTGTAATCCCAGCTACTTGGGAGGCTGAGGCAGAAGAACTGCTTGAACCCAGGAGGCGGAGGTTGCAGTGAGCCAAGATCATGCCACTGTACTCCAGC